TGTCATCCTTTTCCACTTGATCATTCAAATTTACTTTCAAACTTTTACCAGCGTCACCTGAGGGATATATGTAGTTATCAACTACCATATTCCAAAAATCAATATCACCATCTAGGAATAACTTTCTAGTTCAGCTTTCCAATACTCAACCTTTTCACCAACAATGGTGGCAGATATAACTAAGAATATTTGAGACTGGAACAACAGGTGGTGGAGTAGAAACCATCAAGGTGTTTCTCAATGCTCGCCTGGATCATTATCTGACACGGTTAAGTGTTTGATAAACATCAATACCAGAACCGTAGCTCTGATACCAATTCAAGGGGCGAGAAACACAAGAAAGGGGGGGTTTGAATTGGGTTTCCTAAATATGATATTTTCTCTAAATTCAAACTTCAATGCTAACAAGAGAATAAAAATAAATAGACACAATTATTTTTATCTTGATTCACTGTTAACAAAGTTACTACAGTCCGCCCACAAGGGTTATTTCGCCTAAGAAAAGGACTTAATCCAATAATCTAGAAAGATTACAACCTCTAAGTGTTAGAAAATAACTTAGCTCTCTCAAGTATACAGACTAACGACTTACTCACTTGAGGAATAACCACTTCGGAAAGTGTTACAAATGTGTGTACAAAGAGTTGCTTCTAAACAAGTAGATTACACAAGTTTAAGTACAATAACACCATAGTGTTTCTAACAAGATATGAACAGTTGATCCTTGCTAATATACAAAACTATCTTAAGAATAATCTCCAAGAGATTTACATCGTATCAGCATGAGTTTTGTTGCTTAAAAGCTTCTTTTAATGCTTCTATTTTTTTCTTGTAGAGCAGCACTATATCTTTTGTTTGATCAATAAGCATATTCTTTTTAAGCTTACAGCTTGGTGCTTTGCTTCCACTTTGCACATATACTCTCGCGTTTTCTTCAGCACTCTCCATTCTTCCTTTAGATGAGAAAAAAGCCTTAGTTTTGTTGAGCATAGTCTGCTGATCATCTTTTCTTATACATCTCTCCTCATTTTCTTCAAGCATTCAGATCTTCAATATATTGAGAATAGATTCATTAGAGGGTATAGATGGAAACGTATTCCAACAGTAAGTTCCCAACGGTCACTAGAATGAATGGTCTACATCATAGTACAATAAGTTGTCCTTACAGCACCTTATCGAGGTAGAGGTCACAGTGTACTTTGTACTTTTATATTCAGCATACTATCCAACCATTCTTGATCTTCTGTCTTCTAGTTCTTCAGAGGCTTCAGATGTATATTTGATGAAGCATGTTCTAGAAGCATTAATACTTGTAACTTCAAAATCTAAGTCTTCAGAGTCTCAAATCTTCATTCATCATAACCTTGTCTTAAGAGTCTTCAGCACTTGGTCTTTAGAAATGATGTCTTCAGAAACTTCAAAGCTTGTTCAATTAGAACCTCGCCTTCAGAATCTTCAGAACTTGTTCAGCACATACTTGTCTTCAGAGTCTTCAAAACTTTGTTTAACGGAACTTTGTTGCAAGAGAAATGATGTCTTTAGAATCTTCAGAACTCCTTCAGTAGAACCTTGTCTTCAGAAACTTCAAAACTTAAAGCTTTTGAAGTACATCCTTAGAGAGCCTTTGAGAGCTTACTTACAAAGTCACGATCAGAAGCTCTAGTACTAATGTTTTTCAGAACTGTTGCATTAGGAGCATTCCTGAAACTTGACTTTAACAAGGAACACTTTATGTTTTCTTCCAGAGTGTTTAGATCAAAGTTTGATGACGTCACACGCCTTTCTATCAGAGCCAGGTACTATTTAGTAAAAGCTACACACTAGACAGAAATCATAGAGTATCGAATTATTCTCTAAGATAACATGTGCAGTTATCATCAAAACTTAAGGTCAGATGTAGAACCAATCTTGTTCTTACACTATATACTACTGTGTATGACAGACTTGACTCCCTTGTTCATATGTTGCCTCTTGTACTGTAGTGTCTCTCGTGTCTCACTCATGATGTCATTTAAAACATCCCTCACCTTAGAGGCATCCAGAAAGAGTTCTCGGTATATACCCGTTTGCCAAAACTCCATGATTCGGTGACATCTAGGCTACAGATTAATAACATGATATGTCATAGTCTTCTCCTCCTCTAGTATCTCCTGATGAGCTGGGCTAGGTGGATCTCTCGGAGCATTTAGTGTCATATAAGGATGTGACACCCTGAAATACCATTGGATGTAGCCGTGTGCAACACTTCACTCGCTGGGAGCTATGGTACTCCATGTCTCATCTGGTACCAGGTGATCAAGGTAATCATCAAAAAGGGCATCTACGTCGCTTTATGCCATCGAGAGGAGTCGAATTAGAGGGATCTCTAAGAACAAAATTCAGGTAGGTGAATTTTCTTATGACGTACATGACCAACAAGATATTCCTAGGAAGTGCTAGAGGATTCAAGCTTGAAAATGGTAGATGTAAATCATTAGTTATGATGTAGAAAAAGTGTTATGAAAATGACATACAAACCCTAAAAGATGCATAAATATTATCATCAAAAGTGTGATGTTGTATATCATCTATTTGGTCTTCCACATACAACCTTCATCTAACTTAGAGTACAGGTAAATCTAACAAGCGGTTTACCAGTTGTACTCATGGATCCGCTCCAAGTCAAAGAAGTATCTTAGGTAGACCACGTCCACATAAATGGCACTCTTGTCTAAAAAAATGGATGTGTCAACCACATATACTACATGTATGCTCTTAGAGCGTATGCTTCATGCTGCAAAGCCTGCCCATCATCACCAGTGGTCTACTATACTAAATGAAGTTCTTGTGTATACAGTCTCTCCAGGAATCAAAACCTAGCATGACACCCTCGAGAGGCTTATAACTTCAGCAGGGCATCCCATGGGTCAACTTCCAGATAGTCCACAATCATCTCCATTATCTTTATTAATCATGTTGTGGTCTAACATCCCCCCTGATTATAATATGCAAGAGGCATGAGACATCGAGTGCCTGTGGTGCCTTGGGTACCTACAATGCTTCGGATGCCTCGGTGCCTCAATAGGTGACACCTGTATCCTACGACAACATGAAGGAGGAGATGCATGAGCCTCAAAAGTTGATGCCTCTGCATCAACCGGGCTAGAAACGATAGGTGCATGCGATGATTGAGTTACTTCCCTTTGAACCGATGCATGTTGCGCAACTCAGTCTTACTTCAACCTATCTTTCTTATCAGCCATAATGCTTATAAGTAAATCACACAAGATGAAACACAATGAAGTCAAGCCAAACAATGCAGGCAGATAAAATTCAGAAATGCGTCTCCGATTTTTGAAATCAAAACTTCAAAAAATTCCAAAGTTGCATCTTCATAATATTCTACAACTCAGATGAATGACCATGGCAGATATCTAGTACATTCCAACAACCAAAATAATGTATTGATCATTTATCAAATACATTCCTCATTTAAATAACATATATAAACTAAGTATTACATAACCTAGTGCTCAATTTCTACAGATGTATATAGAAATAAAAAAAGTACAAAAAAATAAAAGACTTATCAAAGGTGAGTTTAGTTTGATATTGAATGAGTTCTTTGATCGATTGAAAGTTGATGGTAGAAACTTCAAAGTAAGTTGAATGAGTTTAAGAGTCTCTGAGATGCGAGATTTTGAGAGTTGGGAGGTTTATAGAGTTTGAAGTGTTTGAGAGTATTTTGAAAAGTGAGGAAGGAGAAGAGACTCTAACACCTTTTTGGTTAAAATATCGTCTGGAGATGCATCTTAATAAGTTACACATAGATGCATTTCTATTTTTATTTTATTTTTTTGCATAGCCTTAGAGTATGCCTAAAAATCAAATGTGATTATGGTGCGTCCGGAAATACATTGTTAGATTTTATGAATAATTTTAATTTTTATTAGTGTAGGAAAACAATGCTTTGGGTGCCTTAAGCCATTTCCAAAATATCACCCCTTCTGCTTTGGGCTTTAACTTCCTACAATGATTATCTAGATAAAAAGTCGAGGACACCCTCCATCCCCCTCCTACTTTTGAAATTTTTTTACTATTAGAGATTTCGAAATTTTTGATATTATATTAAAAATTTTGATAATATAAAATTTTTTCGATTGTTTCAAATTTTTTCAAAGACAGTTTTAAAATTATAAAAATTTAGAGAGAGTTAGATATTATTTAGAAGATCATAGATTAATTCCTCTAAAAAGCGCTGTCACAAGGATTTTGATACCCACGAGCATGTAATATACGTGGAATGCATTATGTACATAAATGAAATGCGTTTTTAAGTTGTTTATTTGCCATATCTAATTCAGGTCAAGGACATTGTCGCCATTATCATTCCTTTCATTGTCACCAACTCTCTGATACGGATACCTACGACACAAATATGGACACTTTGAGTTTTTTTTTCATCTATTATTTAAAGAGTTAAAAATATATTATTCAAAATTGACATTTTAATTTCTTCATTAATAACATTGTTGGTATATGTTTAACATTTTTTTGACTTGTGGGAGATTTATTTATAAAAAAATATATAAAGTGTACTGAAATAAATAATAAAACACAGTTTATTTTATAAATCACTTGTATGAATAGTTAGACACGTGTTGTATGAGTGTTATATAAATGTCAGACACCGATTTAAAGAGTGTCGAATTAAAGAAAATAATTATTTTTCTAAAAGATACTTGTCTGACTTTTCTGACATTTATTTGACTTTTCCGACACGTTTTGTACGAGTGTCAAATAAATGTCGGACACCAACACGCCTACTCTTAGAGATATCCGTGCTTCATAGCCCGGCTGGCAGCTACCGCAAACATTTTAACGATTTCAAAATGCTTTTGAAACACTTCAATATGTAGTATACCTAACAATAAGTTCTTTTACAGCAATCAATCATGAAACTTAAGATATATACAATGATTTATCAACAAGAGTAGAGAAGAAAACTAGTACAGTTTATCTTAAACATTCTCATCTGATGGAACTGATACTATAGACCTACTACTTGATCTTCCTGAAGGATCTTTTTCCAAATAACGAGTCACTAAAGACTTTTCAGAAACATCTACACCCAAAGAATGAGTAACTAAAGCCTTTTCTGAAGCATCTTTTTCCAATGAATGCGCGAAAAGCGCCTTAACAACCTGCCGAAACTTCCTTCTGTATGTTGGAAGCTTTGATGCACCTCTTATCATTCCAATCATCCTAACATTGCAGTCATAATAATTATAATAATTAAGTGCTTATTTGATAAGCATTTAGCCAAACAGGTCTAACAAATTTGAGATTGTGATAGTAATACCTTCTTGAAATTCCTTCGATTTGAGCAGCTCTAAGACTATCAGGAACCAATAAGCTGCCATTATCCCAAGCCTCGAACCTTTGTTTATTAACTCCGAAAAGAACGAGTTTTTCCAAGTATCTCACTTCACTTTCCATTAATTTGATGACCCTTATCTGTTCCTTCAAAACCATTATCGGATTGAAGAACCAATCCAACAACTTGTCTTTTGGTCTGTTGAAATGAGTTATCTCAAAATCGTCGAGTAGCAATACACCGTTTGAGTTGGCTTTGATGGAAAAGAGAAGTGTCTGTAAAAGTGAATAACTAGGCAATCCAACTCCAACTATGGCGGCTTCGTTAATATTCTTTCCTCTTAACCATTCGTAAAGATCAGCGGTTGTGAGTACATTAGCATCCAATAACTCTTTGCCTCTTATCTCACATAACCTCATCATATCTCCCCAAACCTGTCACGGTACATTTTAAGTTCAAGTTCGAGATAAGAGTTTTTCAAATCAATTAATATCATAACAAAAGCTAAAAAAAGATCAGAAAGATGTGTAAACTTGTTAGATATTAGACAGAGAAAATCCCGATTGGACCTTAATAGGAAGCGGCCCATTATGCCTAAAGGCGCTATGAAAGGGTCAGAAGACAAAAGAATTACTTAAACTGCAAGTAAATGAAGAAATCGATAGTACTTGATCAACATGAGGTGAAAATCAGAATACCTGCACCATTTTAACTTCTTGAATGGTCTCTCTAACTGATCTCGACGGAGCTAAGCTTGGCATAAACATTGCAGGCGGTTCCGTGGTAGTATTTGATCTGTTACCTGATACACTATTTCCTCGAGTAGAAAACTCGGATGATTGAGAAACCATTTTCTTTCGATATTGGGGCCTGGCTGCAAAAAAAATGATGTGCTGATGTCAACAGAATAAATGGCAAATAGGATAAGAAAATGATTGAAAGAAGTTTACTTTGGAAAGAATGTCCCCTCTCTAAGATAGAGCCAATCATTTGTGTATTCATCAAACTCAGCAACCATTGCCAATGTAAACGCTAAACCTCGACGAAAAGATCTTTCCTACAATCACAAGAAGGTCGAAAGGCGAAGATCAATGATACATTGATGATCTGTAAGGCCCCGACAATGACACGTAATTTGAAAAAAAATGGAATAATTGAATATAATCGCACATGTTAGTATCGTGTCCGTGTCAAACACCAACACATGTCAAACACACCTTTAATATGAAGTGTAAGTACGAAGGATAGATAATCAATACTTAGAAATGAAGAACAAAAAGAGTGATGAAGCAAACCTGATATACTATAATGGAGGCATATAGTCCAACAAAAATGCTAGAGAAAATAGCGAGTAAAATGCTTGCAATGACAACAAGAGGCCACACAAATATTGTCAAACCAGCAATCGGAACACAAACGGTTTCAAGGAATGGACCTTCTCTGCTAATTAAATCATGCAGAAGTCTGTACCATCCCTTGAATAATAGGTAGGGACTCTTAGCTATTGCAATTGCAGTGAAAAGAGGAACCTCGACAATTATTCCCACTATCCCTACAATGACAAATCCAGGAACATGAATTAACCTGCAATATAAATTTAAGTGTCAGAGTTTAGGAACAAATGCTAACAAGTGTTACATATATAAATAAATGGCCTCATGATGATTACCTTAGTGTCTTACACTCATCTGAACAAGGTGATTCGCGTAGTTCTTTCAAGTAACATGGATATGAATGGTAACATAAATCTGCAAAATCTCTAACCACAGTGCAACTGCCTTTTATAGTTCCCAAGGTTCCATCCTGGGTAAAATGAGAGTAAACAAAGTGAACAACTAATTTTTATTGAGTAAACCTTCAAATTCACCTCCGACAATATATAGCACTCAAATTGCAAAATAGATCCTTTAATTATGAGTACTTCAAATCAGGGCCGTCTTTGAGAATGTACAAGCTAAGCTATAGCACAGGGCCTCAAATTTTTAAAGAGGGCCTCATAATATATGTGTCATGGTTAAATCATGACAAAATAGGGCTTCTATTTGTTTTGTCATGGTTGGACCATAACTAACCAACACAGGACCTCTAAAAACTTATGACGACCCTACTTCAAATACGTCTCAAACTCTGTCATTTGTCAAACTTTACTCTCTTATATTCTTCCGCCACTCTCTATTGATTAACGCTATTTCACTAGATTAAACTGTGAAATAGAGTTAACCAACTGAGAAGAGACCGATTAAAAGATAGATGTGAGTAACGTTTGACAAATCAACGACCTATTTGACAACGCCCTAACGATATGCTAATAATGAATCAAACGTTGATTAGAACATGTTGATCATAGAATCTCACCACAATACAATGCATGAACTTCTTTGACTCATTGTCATATCTAAAGGCCTCAAAAGTTGAAACCCAAGGAGTAAAAAAGCCATACCCAATAGCAACAAGAACACTACCAACTATACCTAAACCCAACCACAACCCAAACAAAACAGGCAAACCAATCAAAACGGCAACTTTCAAAGCTGCATCAAACATTTGAATCCTGCAAACATAAAAACCATTCAAAATAATCATTGATTGAAACTTCAAAAACCAAAACTAGGAACACAAATTTCAAACTTTGTTACTTACTTGATAAGGGTATAAACAGTCCAAGCCACGTGTGCAGGAAACAACCCCAAAATCACACCAATATTTCCTATAATCAGTATAAGAGCAGCAACAGGACCCACTATAAAGCCTGCAGAATTTTTGTCAAAGAAAATATCAACAACCCTTTATCAAAAACTCATTAAAAATGAAATTTTTACACAAGATTCCATTTAATCATGAAACATAAAGTATGAAAAAGGTTAAAAGGGTAAAAGGGTAAAAGAAAAAGAGAACCTTTTATGGCACCAAGGACTAAAGCAGAGAAAAATGCAAAAACAACATAAGAAGCTTTAATCCAAGCTTCCATAGAGTTAGGAAAAATCATAATACTATAGTATTAAAGGATCATGAAGATGTCAAGAGTGAAAATTGAATGAAGAAAATGAATTGGAAATTGGAAGTTGAAGAGTCAAAAGAAAATAGCAATAAGAGAATATGGTATATATGGCGTGCGCTGCAAGAAGATGACAAAGTAAATAAGAATATAGAAACTAAAGAAAAATCAGAATATGATTTTCTTAGGATTTTGGCAACTAAAAAGTAACATGGGGATTGAAACAAGAGAGGCTGCTGAATATTTGTATCATTATATAAAAATAATGATATGTTAATAATTGAGGTTTACATCAAATCACTAATTAAAAATTGTTTATTCTGTAATTTTTATAATGGTTGATTGATTTTCAAAAAACTATTTTGTTATTTTAATCAATAGCTTGTAAAAGAAATTAGTTAACTTTAAGAGTGGGTGACATAATATAAAGAAAGGGTATAAAGACAGGAACTAAGACAGGAACTAGAAGGTCAAAGAGAATTGATACTATATTAAAAGGTCAAAGAGAATCACAAAAGAAAACTTGATAATAAGTCTATATTTGGTTATTTGGTGAAGAATATTAATTTTGAGATAATTGATTTTGATAAATTAATTTTTTTTTATTAAATGGGAGTTGAAAGTAAAGTGATTTATATTTGGATAAATTTTTGTAAAAGTGAGTTGATAAAGAGTTGTGAAGGACGGTTGAAAATATCGTAGTGGGTGGATGTCTTTTTTTATAGGACCTTTGTGAGATATTGGATCGAACTCTAGTTAGCATGTCGTCGAAGTTTGTTCAGATGCTGTTGTCGAAGACCTACATGCTGTAGTCAAATTGTGTTCTAGTATGAAGTCGTCGAATTGGACCTTGTGTTAAGGATCCAATTGTTTAAGTTAGCTTGTACCCTATGTTAGCTTGTAATGGGTAATTGTTAAAGGCACATTAGTTTAATATGTTAGGTTTTATTATGAATAGCATACTAGTCTCTCATCTTAGGTGTGGTGTGGCAAATCCTAATTAGGGTGAGAGAGTTATTTGTTATTCTTGAGTACTTGTAATCTGTTTAAAGAGAAAGTAAAGAATATCAGTTATAACCAATCCTTGTTGTTTTTTCTTCTTGTTTTTTCCTATTAACCTTAACCCTTGTGTGTTTTTTTATCATAAAGAAACCAAGTATATTTTGTTTTAAGGCATCTTAATTCACAACAAATTGGTGCGGTGAGCGTGGAGAAGATGTGTTCAACAAAGTATGAGATTTAAAAGTTCACCGGAGTGAACGACTTCGATCTGTGGCGCTTGAAGATGAAAGTCCTACTGGTTCAGCAGATTTGTTTGGAAGCGTTGAAGAAGAGGCAGCCATGAACGCCGCGTTAACGAGAAAAGAAAAGACGACCATGATAGAGAAAGTCCATAACGCAATATTGTTGAGCCTTGGTGATAAGGTTTTTTGACAAGTATCAAAGGAGACTACAGCTTCGGGGTTATGGTTGAAACTTGAAAGTTTGTACATGACAAAATCTCTGGTGAATCAACTCTACTTGAAGCAAGCTTTGTATTCATTCAAGATGAGTGAAGACAAAGTGTTGACTGAGTAGTTGGATATGTTCAACAAGCTGATTCTTGATCTTGAAAATATTGATGTGAAGATCGATGATGAAGATCAAGCACTGTTGTTGTTGTGTGCTTTACCCAGAACACATGCTCACTTCAAAGAAACTCTTATGCATGGAAGGGAGTCCCTGAGCTTTGAAGAATTTCAATCAGTCTTATGGACTTGAGTGAATGAAAGAAGCATAAACCTTCGACGGTTGGTGAAGGTTTGGTCGTTAAGGGAAAATTATTGCGAAAGGATGGTAAGTTCGACAAGAAGAAAGGTAAAAGTCAGTAGAAGTCTTATAATGGTGAAGCATTTAGTATTCAATGTTATCACTGTAAGAATGAGGGTCACACAAGAAAGGTGTGTCCTGAACGCCTGAAAGATCATGTAGGTAAGGATAATGACAACGTAGCCATTGTTTAAGATGACTTCGAATCATCTGATGTTCTTGTATGTTTCAAGCGATGACTCAAGAAAAGAGTGGATTATTATGGATTTAGGTTGCACTTGGAACATGACTCCAAACAAAGAATTGTTCAAGTAGCTATGTGATCAAGATGGTGGATCAATGCTACTAGGAAACAAAAAATCTTACAAAATTGCAGGTATTGGATCTGTGAGATTCAAGCTCCATGATGACTCAATAAGGTTATTGACTGAAGTTAGGTACGTACTCGATTTAAAGAGAAATTTGATTTCTCTTGGTGAATTCGGCAGGAAGGGATATGTTTTTTAAGGAAAGAAAAGTATCCTAAGAGTCATGAAAGGGGTCGAAGGAAGTCTTGAGAGGCGTAAAGAAACAAGACTTGTATACCCTTGAGGTTGAAGTTGTAAGTGATTCGACAAGTGTTGCATCCACGAAACCATTGTCGAAAACAAAAATTTGGCACATGAGATTGGGTCATGTCAGTGAAAGGTGTTTGGTCGAATTAGGGAAATAAAATCTGCTTGGAGGAGACAAAGTCGAAAAGCTGAAATTTTGTGAACCTTGTGTACTTGGAAAATCTTGCAGAGTGAAGTTCAACAAGGGCAAACAAAGAACTCATGGATACCTTGATTATATCCATGTTGATCTTTAGGGGCTTGCAAAGTGCCCATCACATTTAGGAGCAAAGTATTTTCTATCAATAGTTGATGATTATTCCAGAAAGTTATGGGTATTCATCCAGAAGACTAAGGATGAAACTTTTGAGAACTTCAAAGGTTGGAAGACTCTGATCGAAAATCAGACTACCAGAAAGGTCAAGAGGTTGAGAACCGACAATGGCCTTGGATTTTGCAATGAGGCATTCGACAGTTTTTGTGTTGCCTCAAATATTGCAAGGCATAAAACTACTGTTGGTACTCCGCAACAAAATGGTTTGACATAAAGGTTTAATCGAACTATTTTGGAAAGAGTTAGATGCATGTTGACTAGTGTTGGGTTAAAGAAGGTGTTTTGGGCTGAAGTTGTTTCGACAATAACATATCTGATAAACATATGTCCTTCGACTGAGTTAGATATGAAGACACCTGAAGAAGTTTGGTCGAGACATCCACCTAGTCTCGACAGACTAAGAGTATTTGGTTGCATGGCCTATGCTCACATTAGGCAAGACAAGGTCGAACCTAGAGCTCTGAAATGCATGTTCATGGGATACCCTGAAGGAGTCAAAGCTTATAGACTATGGTGTCTAGAGCCAGGTCACAGAAGGTGTATCACTAGTCGAGATGTAGTTTTCAATGAAGTAGAGATGACTTTCAAGAAAACTGATGATGCTAACAAAGAGGTAGAATAGGGAAAGATTCATATTGAGGTTGAGCATGTTGATGTTGAATCGTGTACCCGAGATGAAGTTGAAGAAGAAGCATAAGCTCTACCAAAGATGAGGATACTAATAATGATTACCTTTTAGCAAGAGACAGGTCGATGAGATTCATAAAGTTACCTCAGAGACTTGAGTATGCAGATCTTATAGCTTATGCCTTAATCTCTGCAAGTGAGGTTCTCGACGAAGAACCTAGAGACTATAAGGAAGTTATGAGGAGTCAAAAGAAAACTGAATGACTGAAGTCCATGGATGATGAAATGAAATCTCTTCATGATAACAACACCTGGGAATTGATCAAGAAACCTGCTAGAGCCAGGTTAGTCAACTGTAAATGGATTTTCAAAGTTAAGGAAAGAATCGAAGAAGTGGCATCGAAAAGATACAAGGCAAGATTGGTCGCTAGGGGTTTCAGTCAGAAAGAAGGTGTCAACTTCAATGATGTGTTCTCTCCTATTGTGAAGCATATATCCATTCAAATGTTTCTTGCCACGGTGGCTCAGTTCGACCTTGAACTGGAATAGATGGATGTGAAGACTGCGTTCTTGTATGGTAATCTAGATGAAACAATCTTGATGAGGCAACCTGAAGGATATGTCAAAAAAGGGAAGGAAGATTATGCGTGCAAGCTGAAGAGATCCTTATATGGACTGAAACAATCTCCTCGACATTGGAATAGAAGATTCGACAAGTTCATGACACACAAAAGTTTCATTAGAAGTCAGCTCGACCACTATGTTTACTTCAGATTTTGACCTGGTAATTCATTTGTTATTTTGTTGTTTTATGTGGATGATATTATAATAGCAAGCAAAAATGTTGAAGATGTAACGAGGGTGAAGGCTGAACTCAATAAGGAGTTCGAAATGAAGGATCTGGGAGTGATCACGACTTTCTATGTCTAATACAACTAACTGCAAGTGCACAGTCTATCGCGTAGTAATAATAGATATCGATCCCACAGGGACTCGTAATCAAACTAGTGTTCTCGGGAGTTACTATGTTTAGCTAGGTAGAATATGTTTGAGGGAATAAGATTGTCACTAAAAAGGGAACTAAGATTACTATTTAGATTATAATTAATTGAATCGATACGTAGTAATTGTGTTCTTCAGGGATTTGATAAGTAATGGTGTATGAAATAATTTTCAAAGTTTATTCAAGCAGAAAATGGAGATTTGAAAACTCTCGCCTCACGATGGTTATTGACGCTAATCATAATCCTAAGGGCCAAACGTATACTTTCGTATTCCGTTCGGGGTTAAAATTATTTTTTGGAAATCTCTAAATTCTAATTCGTTTTAAAGTGCTTTCGCTGTTATTAAAACAAATGCCTAGTGTTTATTATCTGACCTTACCGCAACTTTCGCTTGTTGGTTCGTATCTTAATTAATTTCCCACTTTCGTGGCAAAACTACTTTTAAATAAGTTCTCGCTTTCGCGACGAAGTTTATTCAGTGAATCAATTTTAAACACTCAGACCATAGATTACTTTTGTGAAAAGAAAGTTTTCAACCAAGTGTCATCAAATCCCATTCGAATTATTACTACATATCGATTACCTAAGTTTAGCTAGACATGGAATTGGGAAAAACAAAATATA